TTTTTTTTTTTCGAACACAGGCATGCGCGCATCTGTAGCTTTTCGAATTTTGATCACTTTTTTCCCTTCACCTGTGGCTTAGCTGATGCTATCGTCGTTTTTTTAATGTGCTACTCAGTTTTTGATGGCTGCGGATGACTTGCGCTGAAACAGTTGGCGAACAGAGTATTATGGCGAACAGAGTATCATGGTTTCGTTTTTGATGTATCTTATCTGCGCATTCTGCACCATACATTTAAACGCGCTTTCCGTAACATACTTTTTTTCAGTTTCGTTGCGCCAACAAATTTAAATAGAAGTTTAATACTGATTAATTACAAATTACGACTTTAGATTCAATTGCACAAACGAAAGTACAAAAAATATCAACATGGACAGTTGGTGTGGGTGTCCCATGTTAGTAATTTTAATCGGATGCCCGTACACTGCCCATAGCTATGTCAGGCCTTACAGTTCAGATCCTCATATTTCCAGTTAGCACCCGTCTGCTCAATGTACGCATGCCAGCTCCTCAGGATCGCCTGTGTAGTCATTTACTTTCACGAATGTGTCACTCACAAAGTCATGACTTCAACGGTTTTCAGCAAAGCGAGCAGTATCCTTTGCACAAAGATTCACATAAAATAGGACATATAGCCGCAGATTAAACAAAACAATAATTAAGAAAATGCTTAAAAAAGAAACTGTTCTGACTGATCGTGTAACAAAACTAGCTTTAAAAGTAAAGTAGTTTATTCTAAAAGAAAAGCAAAGATACACGGAAAAGCTCGAGCGGTAATAATTTGCCAACTGCAACTAGCTGCAGAGCCGATCACGGACTATCGACATTTCTAGAAGCTGGCTCAAAGGTTCAGCTGTTAGGAATTTAAAGTATTTTGTAGCCTTTTCCGGCTGCAAATTGACTAATTAAACATCTTATTGGAGAGAAAGTCGTAAGTGGTAATTGCAAAAGTTTTGACTTTTGACTTATTAAAGAAGGAAGTATTTTCTCCCTCTTCCGTCATCTCTCTTGCGCACTGTCTGTTCTGCTTGTTCCTGCATTTCTTCCTTGATTGCGAAATTCTGGGCTTTTTTAGCCTACCATTTTTATTCCCTTTTTTTCGATTTTTTTCAAATAACATGGAATGACTAGGAAGAATAATTTGTTAGAAAAAAAAAAACACTATCACTTAATAACTCATTTGTGTTCTTTCAAAATGGCGTTGACTTTCGTTTTTCTCTCAGAGTTTGAAACGTTTGCTTCTGTGCTCGCAGTGTTGGTTGACGTGAGATATCCGCTGTGCTTACGAGTATTTTCACGGAGTCTTTATGCTTCTTACGCATTTTACGCCACGCCGCAATAACTGCAGAGCGCGCATCTCTCTGCCGGCAAATGAATATGATAACCATATTGAATGCATTCAAATAGCTTAGAAAAATTGCAAATTCTGAGATTATACTGGCATTTGGTTGGTTCGTAATGCCATACACTGCTTGCACGCTTGATGGAAGTACAAATAGAACTGAAAAGAAGTTGCTTGTTTTGCGTCACCTACTTTTTCTCACGTTACTTAACCATTTAAGACCAGCACCATGATTTTTGCGATCAAAGCCCAAACTCAAAACGTGTCACGTTTTAACAGTTGTCCTATGATTTCTAACGGCCTTTTTGTTATATTCGATTCGAGGCGCTACGAGAAATTCAGGCAGTGGAATCAAACAGATCTCCGCCAGGAAATTCCTGAATTGGATGAATGTCATAAATTGTAATGGAGTTCGTCTTTGACTAAAGGATATTTGGCTATGTGTTCATAGCTCATTTTAAGAATTTGATCAGCATATTCGAATTTCGCACTTTTTGAAAATTTGGGCGCTCATAAAAAAGTTTTGGATATCATAAACTTGGCTGCCCATTAATTTCGCACTTTTCTTTCCATTTATGATTGAAAGAGAAGTATTTTTGGATGTGGGCGTTCATAAATTGGTGCACAACATTCAGTAGTTCTACTCATATTTTCTTTGGTATGCAGTCGAACGCTAAACAAACTTCATCCCAGCTGCTAGGAGTCATACTGTACTACAAAATTCTTATTGGCATTACACTGCGATTGCTTTAACCACTTACAGAATGTGATAATGCATGAAACTCTTGCTGTCGACGTATATCGTTCCTGAGCTGCAATAAAATTTTTCAAACCTCGATCAATGTGATTTGTGTTGGTCAGTCTTCTTGTATACCTGAAAACTAATACCTTTTTTGATGTGAAGCATTCTCACAATTTTCGATGAGAGTAGAAACATTTTACGTAAGTTTACAGGGAAAATATGACAATTTTTTCGCTAAACACGCTGAAAAATTCCTTTTCTTCATAAAACTTGCGACTCAGTAAATCAACATTTATTTAATCAACAGTCAAACCCAGCTTGGAACGCACCAAACTAGCCCGTGCGATCATGCGTTTCTGCATCAAACTTGAAGTAATTAGGTTTACTGCATGGATTGTTTTTTCTTCATACCTGCATTGTGGGCTCACTACTGTAAATCATCATAAATTTTGCGTAAACGGAAATAAACAATTCTCGTTTAGCGGTCATTTTTATGCTTTTTTTTTTGCTGGCTGTAGCAGCGCTGCTACAGCCAGCAAAAACGCATATTTTCGAGAGGCTGTCTGTGTGTGTGTGTGTGT